TCCGCCGACAGCAGCGAGCTCGACTACTACTACTACGCCTGCCTCGACGTATAGTACTCCAACCCAGGCGGCGCCACCCCCTAGGACAGTCTTCAAAGTAAGTACACACATCCAGTAAAGTACGATCTGAACGAGTTACTGACACCTGTGTAGTACTCAGCACGCGGTTCAAAGACTCATGGTACCGTCTCGCACATGAACCGCCCGACCCTTCCCGACGAAACCGATCTCAATTTCGATGAATCCGAGGTATATCCGCATGCGGTGAGCTCGATAGGAAACCAGCACGAACTCTCAGACCGGGCGGTCGTGACACTCAGTGCACGACAAAATGCCATCCAGGAACCTCAACCTGAAGCAGCTTCTCAAGGACGTGTGCTTGGCACGAGTGGACAAGCAAATAACCCAGATATTCGTATTGCGAACAAAAGGAACACAGACCCTAATGCGCGATTGAAGGTAGAGAAGGACAAAAAAGGAAACTCTCGGGTTGTTCGGCGTCAAGACTGATGAGGCGAACTAAGTACAACCCTACTGCAGGACACACCGAGTCGAGATTCTTTTCAGGCACGCGATGTCGTTATCATTTTCGATCCATGTCTTCCTCATCTGGCAGGCGATATAATTTCGACGCCACAAACCGACTTTCGCTGTATATGAGCTCCATGTAGCAGGACGACCATGTCGGCTTTGCTGGCCTTTGTATTCACGTCGTGGCGTATGATCGGCTCTCTACTTTCGTATGTTGAGGCCGATTCCCTGATTCCTGTTACGATACCGATGTCAATCTTGTCCAACTACTGGATGATTAGTAGCATTGTCCATCTCTTCTCTCCTGCAGCGATAAGGCCAGAGATATCGCGCAATCAGTATATTTGGACCATCGACTAAGACACTTCTTCATAGTTAGCAGCTGCACTATGCGCGGAAAATACTTTACTTTTTCTCCGAAGTCGGTACCCCTTTCCAACGCCTCGCTTCTTCTGCATCCACTCAAGTGAGCTTAGTGCAAAACTGTGACGCATATCTAGACGCATCTGAACTATAGCGGAAACCTTCTAGAAGGAAGACAATCGATGTCAGATCTGCAAAACCCAGGTGCGTGCGCAGAGATTCGGATGCGCCGGATGCGCATGTCAGCGACACGAAGCTGTTGTCCATGCAAGGAAGAAACCGAACATGTGTGAATAGGTCTTCTCCTACGCTGTAGCCCACAGCGGCGAAATATAGGCATCTTAGAACAGCAAGAAGCATTCTTGACTTCTAGCTCTCTACTTGTGTATACGTTGCCCTGTGCTCCACATTGTAGTAGGCACACTTTGATATTTTTCCGTGCTCTAGACGCTGACGGCCTCTCTCACATGCGCGCTTGCCTCCCAAAACCAGTTCGTACTGGCCCAGCAGGGCGGTAGCTTCTGTCGCGGTCGGTAGAAAGTCGTGGGAGGCGGGCCGAAGGCGAAAAAGGACGCAGATGCCGAAAGTTTGACGTGCAGCGAGCCATCGTATTGTCATACAAGGCTGAAGCTCCTCGAGCAACTTTCCACGAACGGAAGGTCAGGAGCGATATTACGCATGATCGGGCGTAGGCACTTGGCTGGCTGAGAAGGATCGCGACTGTGCTCGGCCAAGTCATTTTTCCCGGGGTAAAAGAAAGGCTAACGGGCCGTGCGCGCATACTCATCAAAAGAAGGCCCTCCTCAAAGCATGACGAGAAGAGCTCATTGGAGTAGCTGCTGTTGATTAATCAAGATCTTGTATCTTGTGTTCCGAGTCGTGCGTCGCATGGCTCGAATGCGTTTCGATGCCTGTGCACACCAGGGCTTCCATACCTCTTTTTCTAGAAAGATACCCACGTCCATCTCCCGTGGATGCGTCGAAGGGTACCACATTTGTCGTCAACCTGCGCACGCCATGGTTTTGGTGTGCAGCCGTGCGCAGAACCTGCCGGCAGTCCGGCTGCTTTGGGGATAGGCGGGCCAGGCGGGCCATTGACACTACGCTCGGATAGCCCGATGTTTGAAGCTTGCGTGAGATTGAACGTACAGTGTTCAGAGCGTATCATGTTAGTGAGATTCAGTGCGTCGCTTCGTGACGGAGGTTTTGCACCCAGAGGGAACCTGGTTAGGAGAACCTGGTGTTGATGATCTTGTCCTGGGGGATAATCCGGAGCTAGCGCCGATCAGATTGTAGTGACCTTCATCACCACCGCAGTCGCGCCGCGACATCAGACCTGGACTCGATGAGTACACGATGTCGTTGAGAAGAACACGGCTCATTGCTTGCGAGTGTGTAATCATCCGGTGTTTCCACAAGCTCCCGCTGCCTATCCACCAACCACGATCTGAGGTTTGACCTTCACATTAACCGAAGGAAGAGCTCCTCGTGGCCCAGCCGAAGCCACTGACCCTCTCCAGTGGTGCCGAGACTTTTCGACACTCAAAATACAGTAATGCCGGCCGTGCCGCAGGTCGGTCTTTGGGTCGGTGGTATGCATGATCGCACGCCTGTCAGATGACGCTCTGTTCCCCTCATCCCAGGTGGGAGGTTTAGCTGTTGTTGACTTTCGGGTGAGTTGCTTCACAGACCACCGTGTTGCGCAGAAACCACGAGGCAAAAGACAACATAACGGCGGGCGCAAGATTGAAGCCATTGCCTTCTAGAGCATCCCCACGCGCCGGGAATATCTCCTGCTACGTTTCGCATATAACCCGCTGCAACGCTTGTGGGCTAGCAAGCACCTTCCCACGCTGCGGCTAGGACCATGTGGATGCCACGAGCGACGCTAGCGTTGATGGGTGGGGACCGGGGTCATCGCGTCTCTTCTCCCCAGCTTATAGTGGATCTGTAGATTACGATACTCCTTGTCGTGGGTTCATGGCATCTCTCAGCAAGCTGGGGCCCTAAAGCCGATTGTACATCATCGCCGCTTGCCCCCAGGGTAGTGCCTCTCTGTGCCTGCGCTGGTGCTCGGTCAAACGCCATATTTTTACTTTACTTCGCCTACGATATATTTTTGACTTTAGGTTCGACATGTTAGTTTTGGACAGCCGGAGGCCTCTTTCTTTTTAGGTGTACCCTATATACCCTTCGAAACGTTGCAGGATCAATCGTTCGTCAATCGCAATGACCATTCGGGAACCCCTGGACGTCGAATCGGCCTCGTTCGTACTACCGGCGCATATTCATCCGTGGTTACGCTCAGTTGTCGCTCTGGGATTCATCAGCTTCTTCGCATCAGTAGCACTGCTTTTCTTACTCACCTATAAACTGGTATCCTGGCAACTACGGTCGAAACGAAGCAACCAATTCGTCATTCTGATATTCAACCTCCTCTGGGCGGACATTCAACAAGCACTTGCCTTCTTACTGAACGTCGAATGGCTACGACTGGGATCCGTCGAAGTCACCAATCCAATATGTTTTGCGCAGGGCTGGCTGGTCTCCACGGGTGACTTGGGAAGTGGAGTTTGGTGCTTCGTTATCGGATTGCACACATTTGCTTCCGTCATCTTGGACTTTCGTCTGAAGCCACGGAGTTTCTACATCTGCATCTTTCTCCTATGGGCCTTCATCTTGGGGGTATCTTCAATTGGCCTTGGTATGCATGGGCAAAGCATCTACGTGCGATCCGGAGTATGGTGTTGGATCCATCACGACCTAGAAGACTTGCGGTTATGGACCCACTACATTTGGATTTTTGCGTTGTAAGTTTCTGAATCCCACAAGACATGTCACTACTCTAACACTTGTTGCAGTGAATTTGGGAACGTCCTGATATACGCCATTATCTACACGATGCTGTCGATCCGAATCCGCTCCGGCTACTACACGACCGAAGAAGCCAAGCGCGTACGTTCCATCGCAAACCTCATGGTTGTATACCCGCTCGTCTACGTCGTATGCACCATTCCCCTGGCCTCCGCCCGAATGGCGTCCATGTCCGGCAACCCACCCTCGCTGGCTCGTCTTTGCTTATCAGGAGCAATGATCACATCAAACGGTTGGCTAGATGTACTTCTATACGCATGCACACGACGCATCATGATATTTTCCGATGAGCCACCCTCTGACGACGACGTCATGGACACCTTCGCTGCATTCTGGATTGAGAAGCCCAAGCGCTTCGGAGGCGAATGCACAATCGAAGCGACGAACGCACATACAAGGAGAGGACGGTCGAAGAGTAGGATTACGTTACCATCAGGAAGTGAAAGCTCAGACGATCTCTGTGGGTTCGGTACAAAGGACATCAAGCTGGTCACTACAACAAAGGTCATAAGCGAGCCCGCACAGCCAGAAGACTTTGAAGAGATGGACGCCGAGGCACGTATCACACGACCTCGTACACCGACGGGACGATGGAGCGAGGAGACGACAGATACAGACAGAAGTCGTAATCTGAGCTTGAAGGAACAAGCGATACCTCACATCGCACCTTGAGGCTGCCTACTTGGATACAGAACAACAAACAATCATCACAACATGCGTCGGCTGTCTACATGCACATGAGATGCGCGGCAAAGTCTGAGGACCTGCACCTACTAGCGTCGTGCAAGGGCGGAAGCAGAAAGTCTGTTAAGCTCAATATTCGCAAACGCAGGACAATGTCCATATGGCGGTGCGACTGACGGGACGTGCTTAATGGGACACAGTAGAAGCGATCACCACTACTACCACTAGAAGTGCCATCGCCATACCAGCGCGGCACATGCATGAAGCGAAGGCCTCGCCCAAACATATAGACAATAGAGACGAACATTACGACCACCTATCTCTCAAATGATGCACTGTCACCACTCTTATACATTCTCATATATCCTGAAACCTATTCCCCACAAACACACCGTCACATCTCCCCAACCTAAAGACCCGTCCCCGTCCCATTCGCCAACGCAGCAGTCAACCTCTTCCCATAATCCAGCGTATACGCCGAATCCACAAACTCATCGAAATACCTAACCTTCGTACCATCTTCCGTAAATGTCAAGATAAGCGCGTACTCATTCCCATACGGCCCAATCGCAGTCGTCGCCGTACTTCGCGCGTGAAGAATGCATGTGTGTGCCTCGGGGTCGTGCGTTTCTTGTAGGACTCTAGCCTGTGTTCGTCTTAGTCAGTTGTCTGGCTGTGTTGGTGTGGAATTGAGATATGAGGATGCGTACCGTAAAGTTCTTGTACAAAGGCTCGATTCTTTTGAAGAATACGCGGTATTCGTCGTTGGTCATGGCTGTGCGGTTCAAGCTGGCGGGTAGGATGTTTTGCTTGCAGTCTGGAGTTCGGTAACCGAGGATACGCTCAATGTCCCAGGCGTTGTAGGCGGCGATGACTTCTTTGGCTATGACCTTTTGTGCGGCGAGACTGGGTGGTTGTTAGGCGGATGTATTGAGGGGGTAGAGGTTCTGGAAGTCTTGGAGAGAACTGTGGTAGTTACTAATGGGGACTCACTTGGCCTGGGGGATGACCTCAGCGTTGACCAGACATTTGTTCAGGTTCAGACCTATCCAGATGTCGCTGGTAGCTAGTGTTTCGGGGCTAGGGAAGGATGAGGCAGCAGCAAGGGTGAATATAGTTGAGGTGAAAAGGGTTGAGAGTTTCATGATGGCTGTATGGCTCGACTATGAGTTCGGTGTCGCGGCGTGTTGAACACTTACGTGAGTAGAAGCATATTATGTGTGTTGATGAGAGACTTTATGTACTCTTGAGGGATCACTACTGATGCATGCCGCTAGAGTACCTCGAACGCCAACGCTAGGCTTGAGAACATTGGCTTCATATCATAGGGTTGGAATATCCGGCTGGCTGAGCCCATCTCCCGTTTCTGCGGCCTCGAAATGGGAAACAATGACATGGCCTAAGAAGGATACCCTACTCCACTCACTACCTTGCCAGGTTCACACGGTCTTCTACAGCTGGAAGCTCGTGAGCTAGAAAAAAGACCACCCTTGGAGAAGCTCGGGTGGCGTCATCGCTAGGCTGTGCATCAGCTGATCGCTTGCTATCGTCACGGTAGAGACGGAATACTTCCAGTCCCGGATCGTGGCTTAGCGGTGTATCGGGCTCAACGTGGAACTTGATATCCAGTGTTGCATGAGGCTTGGTGGGCGAGCTTGCATACAGCTGAGGTCGAAGACTAAGGTAAGCGAAGCGAATGAAACATGTCGGAGTAGCAGCCGGGACAAAACATCGGGACTGGTGGTGCATCCATTTTGTAGACCTAAGGTCTGGGTATTTTGGGGGCCTAATTGCCTCTGCTCTTTGAGCTAATGGCACCTCTTTGCTTTTCTTCTGCTCCTCCTCACGTGGATATGTATATCCCTCGTCATAGTGCCACCTTGACCAACCAGATTTGGCTCCAGACTAACACCTCAGTCGCAAGCCAAGCTGTGAAATCGTAATGAGAGACTCGTCAAATGTAGAAACTACACAAGCGATGTCAGTCAAATCCGAGAATCGCTAGTGCCTTAGGCTAGATGTAATCGTCAGCACAGTGAGCTGAATGATGGCCGAGGCGTGTCGGAATTGCAAGATCCCCTTTAAGCATATGAAGTCTGAGTGAAGTGAACATAGCAGGACGCCCATTTTCTTGCTCACGAGTTCACATGCTTACCCATTCCATCCAAGCCTCAAGGAATTTCAATCTGCCCTGCCTCATAAGTTCCAAAAACTCCTCGAAGTTAACCAGCCCGCTTCCTTTTCGCTCGTCAATCTCTTGCTCAACAGCCTCAAGACTCGCTAGCATTATGAGATGTAAGTTGGACTTCGGGTTCATAGCGAGCTGTCGAATGGAGCGCTGCAACGGCTTAAGTTGATTCGCCTCCGGATCATGTGGACTCGCGGAATGATTGATCGGGTTATGAGCGCAAAGAAATGTGTCCACGCCCTCAGAGTCTTGAGCGAAGAGATAGTACAACTCTGGATTGTCGGTGTACCATCGCCAGTTGATCGTGTAAGGATCGTCCTCTTTATCTTGCTGTTGCACCGAAGAGTCAGGCGGAGGAGCCCCAACAGAAGAGTCCATACCATCAAGTATCAGGGGCTCAATTTCGCCAACGGATCTTTGCCCCGGATAACGTTCCAGGCCATCGTGGCCTGCCGCGATGAAGAAACAACGATTCATAATATCTTCGCCCGAGGTTATCGAGGATGTATCAGTGTCGGAAGTGACACTACTATTTGAAGAGCTGTCCGAGGTAGTCTGCAAAGTCGCTGCAGGTGGAAGATTGGACGAGTTCGGCCGGAATTGAGGCATGGTAGGATCCCTGTGAATACTAGGCAGACTCTCATTCACGAGTGGTGGTATCAGCCAGCCTTTGTTGTCTATACACTCCATGGTAGCATCGACAACCTCTGATCGAAGCCGTGACCTGATCAACAAAGTGTTCCACGTCGTCATGTTGTCAACATTTGTGGGCCTGGAAACCTTCACGGATTGGAGCACTTTCGCTTCCACACTGTCGTAGAGTTCTTCGACTACTCGGCATGCTTCTTCTTGAGTGCATGGCGTATCGTCGGTACCGTTGCGGAATAAGCTTTTAATAGGACGTACATGGTTAAGGGCCCGACAGAATTTGTCGATCATGCACTTGGAGTATCGAAAGGCACCGACGTGAACTATGGCTTCGACAGCAGCCTTACTCTCTGTGAAGTGGTGCACAGTCAGCTCGTCGATAGCGGCTGCCTTCGCGCGACGCTCGCTGCGCATCTCGTGTGCGTCCATGGCCATGTCTTCTTTCTCAAGGAAAAGCGGGTTAAGCAATTCGTTAAAAGCCTGCTGCGTAACCTGATACAGTACCTCTTTGCCAAGATCTTGTTCGGGCTCGGGTATCTCATAGCCACCCCATCGCTCTCCGACGGGCCTGGATGATGAGGCGTTGGAGCGTGTGTCCATCTCCACGTCGTCCTGGAAGCGGACCCTTGAAGATGACCGCGAGCTCCTGTTGCGGGCCAAGTCTCCATTTGTGTCTGCGGCTTCAGTCATTCCGTTCACCCCATCGGCAGTCTCTGGCTCATCAGGGTCTGATTCCTCAAACCCTTCGGGCCGCGTTAAACCTTCTTCTTCGTCGATGTAGTATTGCCTGCGGGCCCATCTCCGAGTGACGATGTCCGCCTGTTGTTCCCCTGGCGTTTGCCGTGTATAGGTGGGTGCGACGTGATGAACACCTGCGGTCCCGATCATCTCAGCCCGGCCTGCTACATCGCTATTGTGCTCAAGCAGCGGTGGAGTCGTAATTGCGTCTTCTTCACGCTTCTGCTGTAGTCGGCGGTTGTTCGTGTTCGAGGCAGCCATATTGCGGGGCGTAAAAGCAGAGCCAAGTGGCTGACTAGAGCGTATTGTGTCCAAAGCTGTTCGCACAGTCACTTCGTCCTGCAGCTCTGAGATGTAGTTTCGTGTAGCCTCCTTCTCGATGGCGTAGTATGCCCTAAATATGCGTAGTACGTCCTTGCGCGATATGTAGCCATCTTCATCGATGTCGTATCCGTTGAAGACTATTCTGGCCTTGACATTCACATCAGAATCGTGCATGCCGTCCAGACCCTTGACCCACTCATCAAACCCGATGAGGCCATTCTTGTCCGTGTCATAGTATGCGAAGATGCGATCGTAGACGAGGTTCGGTGCGGCGACGAAGCCGTTATAGCGAGGGATGAAAGCGTGGTTGAAGTCGCGTCGATCGATGGCCCATCCTACTCCAGTTGTATCACCCGCCCACTCGGAGCCTGCGAGACAAGTGAATTGGTCCCACAGTGCCTCAATCTCTTCTGCTTCCATCTTGGTCTCGGCTACGAGGCGTCTCTTGAGGGCTGGGTCGATCGAGGGGCTCATCATGTGAGGCTTGCCGGGGTAGAGCGGTTCCTGTTTCTGGAGGCTCAGATATGGGGCAGGTACGCGGACCTTGTAGAAGATGTGGTTCTTGTAATGCGAGTTGGTTGCTTCGCAGTTGGAGCACAGGTCGAAGTCCGGGCAGTTGGCGCAGTGCCACCTGGTTCCGCGGATGGGCTTCTCGTCGCATCCATTGCATGTTATGCCACGATGTATGACGCCCTCGAGTCTTGCGCGATCTTCCGCAATGTGGTATAACGTGCGCTGGAGGGTTTGGCCTTCGGGATCGATAGCGTCATCCGCGTCCTCGTCGCTTCCCAACGACAGGTCGGTAGCTGCGACGCTCTCGGCGTCATCGAGAGCAATGTTGTCACCGGGAGGGAATATCTGCGCATGCCTTGCCGCAGCGCGGGCTACTGCAGCACGATCCACTCCTGCGTTATCGGGGTTGCGATGTTGCAGCCAGATTCGGATATCATCTGCCTGCGACGGGGACAGAGCGCGGTCTGGGTAGAGTACGACTAGTAACCGGTCGAGGAACTCGCTGTAGAAGCTCTCGGTGAGACGCTCTACCGTCTCATTGTCGGCGTGTGGCTGCGCGCGCAGGATCGTGTCGCGTAACTCGCCTGGCGTGCCCAGATTGCGAGGGTCAAGCGGAACTTGGTAGCCGAGTAGGTCGTATAGGCCTAGAAATGGTATGTCTCGTTCGTTCAGAGGGAGTGAGGGTGCCGATGGCTGGTCGCGTGGGCGCCGTCTACGGACCGCATTGCTGCGCTGGAGGCCATCGCCTGCGCCGGGGCTCTGGACGTTGGTGACGATGAGATATGTCGCGTATGCAGCGGATACGCCGGCGAGGAACAATATAGCGTTCCTAGAGCGGGATAGGGTGGAGGGCGTAGACGCCGTCATGCTCGTAACGATGCTTGGTCTTGGACAGGCGGTAGCTGGTTACGCCGCGGTGTAAATATGATGGAATAGGCGTTGAGTAGCACATGGCAGGTGTTCCCCTACCAGTCGTGCTGTTGTCACCCGTTTGAAGTCTTCATGGCGCAGAAAGAACGACCAACCGCGCTCTGGCGACAGCGAACGTCCCTGGCCCTCCTGCCCACATTGCGACAATCGCGGCCACGCGGCTTACTCAGCATCATCCCACCGACTTCCGAAGCTCCGTATTGGACAGAACACCTTCACATATTCCCAAAGCAACAGGGCTTTGGACATTGTACTTCGTATTAGCGATTAACTATCTACTCTACCACGCAGCATGGCCACCATCCATCCTAAGGTCTGCGCCAGTCATGAATGAACTAGCATCACTCAACAGGAAGACTGCTGCACCACGGTATTCCTCCGGCTTCGACAGACGACCCAGCATGTTCTGCGTTGGCCATGTGTCTCTTCGCTCTGGGTACTTCTTGAAGAGCTCCTCTACCATTGCCGTCACAATGTATCCTGGCGAGATTGTGTTGACGCGGATGTTGTGCTCGCCCCATTCCGATGCGAGGTTGCGAGCGAGTTGTATTACACCAGCTTTGGACGCGTTGTATGCTGAGCAGATGAGACCCTGTTGACGTTGTTAGTGTGAGAAACGGTAAGGACTTGGGACCGCCATACCCTGTTTGCGACAGTACCGGACATGCTGGCGATGAGCACGATACTTCCTCCAGTTCCAAACTTGATCATCTGCTTCGCGGCTGCTTGCGCAGTCATCATTACACCGGTGATGTTGACCTCGAACATGCGGTTCGCGTCTTCAGCTGTGTACTCCAGCGCAGTGGTTTCTTGCTGAATACCGGCAGCAGCGATCAACCCATCCAGTCTGCCTTCCTTGTTGGCGATTTCCTCAACAATCTCGTGGAGCTTCTTCACATCTCGAACATCTATTTGGCGGTATTCGAGCGAGGTTCCGTATTCTTTCTTTGCTTTCTCGGCGATTGGCGCAAAGTCTGCTGAGGGTTCTTCGAGTCTGTCAAGTGCGTACACTGCAGGCGCGTGTCAGTTTGATATCCTCCGGTCGCTCTTGACATGTGGAGATGCATACCTCGTGCGCCAGCTTGCAGCAACGCTTCGGCTTGTGTCAAACCGAGTCCTCGAGCAGCACCCGACACCAGCACCACCTTTCCCGCTAGGCTAAACTCTGGAAGTCCTTGGGTAGCAGGCATGGTTTGGATCATTGAATATCAGCGATATACGAAAAGAGACGAAACAGAACTGAAGATCAAAGTATGCGTAAACAACGTCGCTCGCGGAAGGGTATTTATACAAAACAAGAAATGCGAGATCGGTTCGTCAACTCCACGCAAGCCGGGGCCATTGTGGACTTTTAAACCGGCTCCAGGCGGAAGTCTGATCACCGGACTCTCTTGGTATAGGTCTGGCCTCGGACTGTCTTCCTCCACGGCATGCATGGACGATTGTGGAAGACCGCGATGCTCTGTTTGCGGGGAAGCCTCCCGGCATCTTCTGTGGATTGCCTAATCGGGGATACCGAAAGGTCCCCGCGGGGGATTCCAAGTGAACTTTTTGGAACGTCACCCATGTCGACCAGCGTGGCGTGGACCCTGAGCCAGTTGGGTGCTCGGCCTCGAGGCGAGAGTGTCCAGTTCGGGTTCGGGACATAAAGGTCCATGGTGCGCGTGAAGTTTGACACACGCGTATGAGTGCACAGTCCAAGTCAGTCAACGCGGTTTCGGACAACACTAGTTCGCTGAGGTAGCTATCGAGATGACATTGTATGTTACTATATGAGCTCATTACCTTATGAATTTGGCTGCAGACGCAATCATGAATTATCTGCATATAGACTCTGAGAAGGCTGTGATGGCTTTCTCTAATGGTCTGAGAGAGCCTGAAGGCCATGCATGTCCAACACGCGGTCGTGCAAGAAACAGATGGAGGGTGAAAGCAAGAGAAGCAACGCTACGTGCTCTCATTCCACATTGTTTGCGTTCACTTACCGTTCTGGTCATCTGCATGCCGAAAGCAACGTGTTGACTTAACCTGCGACAGCCTCGCCAACTGCGCCCTCCCTGCCCTGCCTTCTGTGATGAACCGCCCTGGGCCTGATCGCTCAGCAACCGCCTTGTTGGCCGCCTAGGCACAATTGCGCAATCACACGATTACACGATGCCTAACATCGAGGCACATGTTGCGCGAAGAAGGCACAGCTAAGCCCCCCGTATGGCACAGTTCTGTGTCGCGAAGCGCCGCCCAACAACCTTCACAGTGCAGTTGAGACGTCCAAAGTTGAGAACGGAAGTTGATAAGCAACTCTGGAGTAGAGCAACGCCGCGGGCGGAAATATCAAAGACATGCGTTCGCTGCTTGAAGGTCGCCAAAACGCCAGCCGCTGTGCGCTCGAAAGGATGGTGTCGCGGGCTTCAGGCAAGCCGGTCGCAGCTGCCTCCCGCAGTGCGCCCAGTGCATTGTTCCAACAACGCCTTTTGTCCACCAAAATACCCCATTGTGCCCGCCCATCTCGATAACAATGTCACTGAAAGCCTACGCTGCGCGCATGCCTATCCACAGCGCCTCGCTCGCACGCGGCTAGAAACTGCCCGGTGAGGCTGCCTCCAAGGCCCAACGCCGCGGGGCAGTGCATGCAACCACCCTCTCCGCAAAGCCAGCAACCAACGAAGAAACGCCCATGCTGAAACCGCGATTAGACGCCTGAGGCAAGGCACGGCGCAAAAATGTCTCTTCTCAGATTTATTGAGGCGCGGTACCAAATGTAAGCGGGAACCTGGCAGATTGACAAGTCGTGTGAGGCTGCTTGCTGCGCCTTCAGGCCGAGATGGTGGTTTGTTGTTAGTTGTGTATGTGGAGGGAGGTGATTGACCGGGAGAGGGGGAGTGGGAAAAGGGATATGTAGGGTGTGGGTTCGCGCTTTGGGGTGTTTTGTTCATACCAAGGACTTTTACGCACGAGAGATTCGATTATACCTACTGTGTGTATACGGTCTGCATCTGGTGCACCCCTTACACTACACACATCTACATACTATCGGCACCAACACAAATAATGGCGCCCCGTTTCATCCAGTCATCAGTCTCCAAACCATCCTCCCACCAAAAACGCTCAGAATACTGCGAAACCACCTACGACTCCTCCTGCAACACCCACCGCACCGTCCTTCTCATCATCATCATCTTCGTTGGCGCTTTCGTCGGCGTCGTCCTCAGCCTAGTCTACGTGCGTAGCCGGAGTCGAAGACACGACCAAGAACGTGCTTTGCGCATGAACGGCGGACCGGGAAGCGGGCTAAGGGTGTTGAGGAGTGAAGATGGCGTAGCGACAGTGCGGTTACCGTCCGGAAGGGTGATTGGCGGGAAAGCGGAGAGCTGGGATGGAAGATGTTCATCTGAAGCACCACCGCCTTATATGCCGAGGGTACCTGAGGCTGCTAGGGTGGGCCATTGAGAGAGTTGGAGAAACATGAAAGGAACGTCCGTTTATGTTTGGAAAACGACTGAGAGGCACTCTTCTAATGTCGTGGCTTGCCCAGCGCATCGCGTTGCTACTACTCAAATTGAGCAGAGTACAGTACACACTCTGCTCCTCGAAAATATCGAAGTTCACAAGGAGTCTTCGAACCCAACGATATCGGCTGTTGGGACACGAAGATCTTTCTTCCCAACTAGGACCTTTCCAGGTATACCAGTACCAGGACGACAGCTTAAAAACCATCAGGGCAGAAAGACTGGGACCCATTCTTTATCAGTCCTTCCAGATGGCTACGGCTACGCATATGATGTATGAAAAGCCAGCGCGCCATCGAGCCGAGGAGAAGTCTTTAAGAACGACGTAATGGGGAACTGAAATGACGTCGGAACGGAAGTATAGATACCATAGTACTTATCATATTGATTCATCTTCATCACGATCCTAAATCACCCATATCATCATGAAAATTTCCCATCGAAGAAGCAACTAACTCCAGTCTCTACCAACCCCCTCTCGCGATGTAGATGACCATTCTTGCCTCCCCCTCTTCTCTCATCATATTGATCAAGCGCCTTGTAGGCCAAGGCCTACCCCATCGCCATTGCCTATAGAACCACCATCGTCCCTGCTTCTATCTCTTCCTCTCCCCATTTCCCTGATCCTGCGACCCTCCATCAGGCCCCGCAGACCTCGCTTTTGGAGCCCAACCACTGCGCTCATTTCACCATTCCAGGTTTCTCTGTCTTCAATGCCACTTCCATCCCCAAAACCGCTATCGGAGGCCGAGGCCGACGTAGATTCAGACGCCGCTGAACTGACCTCATCGTCGTGATTCCGGTCTACGTCGGTGTTGACGCGGAGTGCACGCAGACCGGCATCCAGACTTCGTTCGACGTCCGCAACTGTGCTGTTGTTGCTCGAAACTGAGTTGGAGAAGCCATTCGTGGTCCCGTTCGTGCCTGATACACCGTTGACGCCCTTGAAAGCAATACCGGAGCCACCGCCAGCCGCCATGGCCGCAGCATTGAAGATGGCCGCGGTATTTCTGTTGTCCAATAGGACGTGAAGTCGTTCGATAATCGCTTCCAACAGACCATCGATATGGTAAGGTCGCGCTAATTGAAGGAGAGAGCAGAGAATCTGCGGTGAGCATAAGGCGGAGTTATGTGGTGGTAGTGATGATGTGTATAAGAAATGTATAAGCGCTTGAAGTGTGAGATGAGTGTGAGGTAGGAATAATGTTCGAGGCCGTTGTGATGGTGAGTGTGATGAAGGTTCTGGTGGGCTTAATGAGGAGTAGGAGTTCGCTGATACAGCTGTGGCCTCTGATGGTGTTATAGTGTTGGCGGTAAGCGTTGTGGCTGTTGAGTAGTTTGTTCGGATAGAAGGTGTAATAGTAATGCTTGAGTTCCTCGAGGGGTGCATTGTGGCAGTGGGCCGTAAAGTCGCCGCCTCAGCGTTTTCTTTCTCCGCGCTTTGAGCACTCTCGCGGAGTAATTGGTTGAAATATGGACCCCAGCGTCGAGCAATGATGTGGGAATTAACGGGTATGCGCTCGCCATGTAAAGCGAGGAAATCCATATCAGCAAGTTCCTTCATACCCAACGCCATTTGACCTAGCTCGGTCGCTGCGGGTAGCAGTGTGCGGCCACCAGCAAGCATATCAAGTCTATCATGCTGTGGCGGTGCGCTGACAGAGTTGAACCCTGACGCAGGCGTCACCTTGCGTGGGTTGTCATAGAGCCCGAATGCTTCTAGCTCAACAACGCACATGTTCGAGAAATTGATGCGCCGATGATTATAGTCTTCGACCAAGCTCCTCTTGCGGTTGCCAAGAATGACGAAACAATTCCGACGGTTCCAGAGCACACCTCTGTTCCAGCTTCCCTGGCTGAAAATGTTGCCGCCGGCTTCGATTCGTCCCCAGCTCAGCGTTCGCAAATCAAGAGCCCAAAGCGCATATTCTTGTTTCGACGATGTCAGAAATGTGCCGCTCACTACAAAGTGGTTGTTGATAACACCACCGTTCGGGAAGCGGAGACCTGGCGGCGAGAAGTTGCCGTGCATTGGCTTCTCGGAAAGCGTACCATCGGGGTGCCGCACTTGTAGTTCGAGCTTGACGTCCAGGAAATTGTAGTTTGAGTAAATGAGCATCGATGACTCGCCAGTCTTGTTCGGACTCCGTTCCTCCGGTGTTCTTGCTTCACTGCCCTGTCGTGTTCCTCCACCAATATCGTTCGGGTCAATGCTAGTGAGGGGCGCGACTACGCTTCGGTATGCGCCACAACTTCTGCCTAATGTGCTCGTTTCCGTCCACTTCAGACTCCGGAGGTTGAATACGCTGATTTGTTCAATGTAGTGATTGGCGCTGTCCTGACCACCCACAACAAGCATTTCCGCACCGCCCTCGCCATCCAACTGCACTCCCAGGGAACCTTGGTTTGGATTCGATGAAGGTGGATTGTGTCGTATGGCTGTCACCGCAGCTCCGGTCGAACTGAAAACGGCCGAGCTAGGAAGTATGGTCGCGCAGTGAGCATAGCGACCCTGTGGAGATTCGCTCGTAGAAACGTGCATCCAAGTTTTTGTCGGCGCATCATAGATGTGAACATCTGACATGACCACCACCTCGGGTTGTGCATCGGCGGGAGCACCTTGTATCACGGAAGTTGCTTGATTAGAAGACGAGCTTACAGGTGACATGCCTCCATAACAAACCAGCTTCGTGTCGCCAAGCGGACAAACACTGTGGAAATACCGAGGAGGCGGGATGTCACCTTTGGCGTCGACTTTTGTCCAGTGGCGCTTGACAAGGTCAAGCTCGTACAGGTCCGATGTAAGCTGCGGTCTTGTTCTGGAAAGTCGACGGCCGCCGAAAACATACAGCTTGTCGCCTAATATTGTGGTGGTGGCGCCTACGAGCGGGTGCGGTTCCCTGCCTGTTGTGCGATGTACATTGCAGACTAAGCCCGACAACCCCGCGGTTGAACTCGTTGGTGTCGCAAGGCCTGCAAGCATGGCTGGTGACTGAGAGATACCAGGCGTCCGGGTCGACGATGTTCCATCTTGGCCGTCTTCATGATGCAAGCTGGTCTGGCTGTTGTTTCGACTCGATAAATAGGGTGCCGATGTCTGAGAGTTCAGGGTGTTGGTCCGGCTAGCCATCCTGGTCGGGATGTGAAGAGAAGTAGGTGCGCGCTGAAATCCACCAAGATCGAAAATGGGATCGATAGAAGACGGTGAGACTCTTTGTAGAAGTATAGCCCAATCTGGTATCACAATCTCCACATGACGAGGCGAAACGCTGGATTCGCTGGGGGGTTTGTCGCTTGGCAATGGAGAGCCAGCGAGGCTAGGACTGCCACTCGATCGCGAAGGGCTATAATCAATATTCGTACAAGGACTTTCGGGTGTTACAATCTGATCATAGACAATGGGCACGTGCGACAAGGCCGGAGGACCACCGGATTCGGGTGTGTTTTCCGATTGGATCCTGCGATAGGCGCTGGAAGCAAAGCCCGTGGAGTCGACAGGTCTTCTCTTCTTCGATAAGATTTGCTTGATGTGTAATCTTCTAGACTTTTTCCAAAACGAAGAGGTGTCACCCAATGGCACGGTACTAGAACCGATGGATGGGTAAGAAAGGCCTAAAGGTAATGCCATGTTAGCGTTCGGTCTGCGAGATCCGAGAAAGTAATACTGAAAGAGAAGGAATCGCCAGATTTTTGAGATATTTCCATGTTACCAGCAGGACCGGGCTACCAGCAAATCTCGCTGACCCAGATGGGAAAGCCATGTTTACACATGAGGGATGAGGATGTTGCTGCAGGTAGTGCGACTTGCTACGGTGGTACGAATGCGCCTTATAGTAGGACAAGGAAAAAATCCAGCTTTTGCAGGCAGAGGATTCGGATACATGTTGACATTGGCTGCACGCAGCAGTGGCTGAAAGTTGTCGAGACGAAAGAGAGTGAGGGGTGCAAGCTTATAAAAGGAAGACAGGTCTTACTTGAGGGTGAGCGCCACACTTAGGAGGCCACACTTAGGAGCGGGGAAGATGAGACCCAGGGGAAGGGTAGACGTATGCAGAGAAGGAAGACAACGCGTCGTCTTGCTGAACTTCAGGGCCCGCGCGATACAGAGATGACAGCAAGCCTGAGCGAGGTTCTGTGGAGCGCTCTATCCCGGATGCAGCCTAGAGGCTTGGCGTAAATCGTCAGTCTCAGGTGCCTGCAGGTCGCTAGCAAGGGAACAATGTTGGGCGTCTCTAACGTCGAGCGCCGTCGGTGCAGCTGCAGCACTCGAAAGCTGGAGGCGTTCCTGTGGGTGAAACGGGTAGCAGCCCTGGAGGAGAAACCAGGCGACGGCCGGGTGCGGGGCGGGATCCGAGATGAGAAGATGGGCTGAAACTCGAGACGAAAAGCCGTTGGGCACCTCTGGGGACCACAGGCAGCAACGGCAAATAGCAAAGGTCAATGTGCGACACGCAATTCTCGGACTGCAAGGGCGCCGTAACCTTTTCCTTGACGAGGCTTGCAGAGGTCTCTCATCAACGTTCAAGCACGGTCGCCAAAACAAATTAGCGCAGGGAATGCCGGTCGACAAATCAAGAGTCGTATGCTCAATATTAGAGGCGCTGTTAGCTTAGCAGGCCCGTCTAGGTGTCTTCATATCGGATGATCGGTGAGGCTGAACCCAAGGAATTATTTGGAAAGCGTACATGTAGTAGTCGAAGACGTTCCGGTAGTGCATCGGACTGTGCCGAAAAGAACGGGCTGGAATAGACGCAGTAGTAGTAGACGGTGCCGAAACGTTGCTTCTCGGCCTCTAGCACCGTCGTCATTGTTTTCCAATCGGAGGCTAGAGACCCTCAGCGCGCTCTTGAGTCGACACAATTATAATGCTAGTTCGATATACGTCGTATTTACGACGCCGTGTATTCAGCAGAAGTCTTGCAAACTGGAGGATTCGTAAATGTTCAAGAAGACGGGCAATCCGCTACGTTCGTACACTAGACCCTGGGATTCTAGGTCGATTCTGCGGTAGAGAACTCGAAAATATGACAGATTGTATAACTTCTCAGTGCGGCGTTATTACGATCCTTCCTAGACGACAGCGACTCACGGCTGGAAGGAACGACATGCGAGTAGCCGCGCAATGACTCGAGTACATTGAGCAAGGAGTCTAGATGGAAAAGTAAACCTTGTTACTAGTCAAAACCACGTCATCGCAGGGTAACACGACACTAGAGCATATTAGAGTTGGTGTTGGCTGCCGCCTACACAGCATCGAAAACATGTGTATGAAGAGTACACAAGCATGCAGAGATACATAGGGTATGCAATAGTGGTTCGTATAGTATGGCTCTTTTGTAAGCATATCGTGCCACACAGTTTCGGTCGTGCCCAATTTTGATCGATATGGTAGTCAAGACATTGAAAACAACAAAAGTGCAGAATGTTCATCAAACACACCACTCGCTATCCGTCATGTGGATGTCATCCCACAACCAGGGCTGGAAGGAGAACCTTAATCACGCCCCTCAATCACCTCTAAGCGATGAGATACCCCATGTGCCTTGTCGTAGATGTCGCGAGCCTCGGCAACGAGCTGCTCCCTCTTGACCCAAGACGCCAAGTGACGCTGCCCTACCCATTTGACAAGGTATTCCATATGGCCATCACTGCCAGTCTTGTGTGCTTGTATCCGCTTGTATGGCCATTCCCAACTCGCCTCATCATCTGCCTTCATAGACCAGACGCCCCAGCCCTCCTTCATTTCTCCATTCTCCTTCTCGTAGTCCAACGCCCATTGCCTGAAGAAGGCCGCAATCCAGGGTTCTTCGCCAGGAGGATAGTCGTCGGAACCGTGCTCGCGAGGTGGGAAGTGGGTACGCTCGAGTTTGGGTGCGCTGAGCTCTGAGCCATAGTGCTTGCGCGCATCTGCGATGTTGATGGCGAGCAAAAAAGGATCCAGCAGCTCAGCAAGGTCGATACCCGTATGAAACTGCCATTCGTATCGCTTCAGGGTGGTGCGAACATGAGCGAGGAGTCGTTTCTCTGCTTGCTTTGGTAGTGTATAGACGTCGTCGTCTTGAGCGAGCTGTCGAAGGGCATCCTTGATACTACCGAGCATCTCTCTAGCACGTACTGTCACTACAAGTGATCCAGCAGCCGCATTCTCTCTCGCCCATGCTGCGCATAACTCGCACGCATCTGGTCGTAAGGGCAGATACGCATCGCACCAAGGTAGTGGGCACTTCGTACTCGAGGAGAGGTGCGTCTCAATACATTCTCGGCAGAAGATATGAGAACACCCAATCTTGACTGGTATCACCTTTTCGCGGCCGTCGGGGGTGCTGAGGTAGTCTTCGAGACAGATTGAACACTGCGCCTTCTGTGCGGACAGTTGCCTGGTAGCTCGGACAATGGTCATGGAGTGAGGACAAGATGCCGCGCTCGTCTTGCGCTTCGATGGAGGCAATTCCAAAACCTCTTGCTCGGACGGTGGGGCCTTTCGCTTTCGTGGGCTTGTCCATACACCGGTGAAGTCCGTGCTGATGTTGTCAAAGTAAGGAAAGGGCATCCTGAGAAGCTTTTTTGCAGTGCCAAAACCCAAGGGAATCAATGAGGGTTAATTCAAACGATTGGGAACAAAGTGACAGCGTGGGGAGAATGGTGGTAGAAGTGGCTCAAGACGTGGGAGTTGGAGCACGCGAGGCTACCGCTGTCTTTAAAGATGGGAAGGTGCGCCTCACCGCGACTCCCCCGTTTGCACGGAAACGGCATGAGGGCAGCACTTGTGGTAAAAGCCGGAATGTAAGGTAAGAGGCAGTCGAAACCAGCTGACGGTTCGTTCAAACTATCTGCCAGGTGACTCATTGCGGCGCGGTATCTTGTGTTACAGGCACTTTCTTCTCTCTTACAACGGGTATCTCCTCCTCATACACTTCTTCTACACGCGCACCAGGGAACGCTTTCCTCAGCTCTTGGCCCAGAAAGCGAATGCCCCAATCTTCCCCTTGCCGATGTCCTACGCAGACTACTGACATGCCCAGTGCTTTGGCTGCTTCCATGCCGCTGACTCTGGGTTGACCGGTCAGGTAAAGCAAGTGTCCACCGTCTTCACCCTCCGTTATCCACCCGCGCTCCTGAACCATTGCCAACACGCGATGCACCTCGTCCTCGTTGAAGGCGTTCATGATCGCAATGATGCGTATCTCGTCCGAGGATCCTTCGTGCGCGAGCTCCGATGCTCCAAACTCATCCTGTACTTGGCTCAGAACTGCATCCAGAGATTTAGAGACCTGACCGATGATTCCAATCTTTCTTTCTGGATCTCCTTTGTAGCCTTGCACGCAGAGGCAGTCCGCCGTCGCCATGCCCAGGCGCTCCGCCAGCACCGTGTTCCATCCAACAGTGAGGACTTCGTCGAAAGATGTATGGCTGGAAAGTACAAGTGTTCCTTTGCGCACGCTGCGCCTGTCAAGTTGGAAAGGTCGGTGCAGAAAGCATAGAGTGCGCGGCGGCCGGGGGTATATTCTTGGGAGGAGCGTCGTTGCGCCAATGGTGCTCTCGTCTAGTGGGTAGCCGATCAATGAGTATACCCCTGGTGTAGGGGCAACACTCAATACAATCTGCTCAACCACGGCGGTCTCAGGGTCGTATCGAGGGTTTCGCGGTGTGTGGTAGAGTCGCTGGACATCGTTTTCCTTCGACGGTAGGAACGTCTCGACGAATCGCGTTACGGCTGCATGCGTGGGCTTCTTCGGTCGTGACATTTTAAAGAGGGAGGTCAGCAGTCTGTTCATTAGTAGTGATCAAGAAAGCCTATCGAAAGCTTCGCGACTTTTGGCTTCAAGTACGTCATCATCGCTTCTAAACCGTGAAGCGGTGGGTGTGCAGGCCCCGCCATCGTTCCCATCGCGTTCACTGTCGCCATGAATACGCCAAGAAGTAGGGACGATGTTTCGAAGGCCGTGTTCGTCGCGCGACGCGATGATGTACAGTGCAGAGGGGTATCGTGGCGGGTACCTGGGAAGCCCTGGAGCGCGTTGATCGGACAGCAAGACACTAGTCCCATTACAGTCTAGTCTCAATATAGCCACTCCATCTCCATCCGCATTTTCTTAATGTTGATTGACGACGATGCAGTCAGAAGAGAAATTCAGCCATCTAACTTCTATGTTGACGAAACCATTCATAGTGGGAGCCCTTCAAGTAGTGACATTCTATGTCTGTAGTCAATGCTCTGACTAAACGCACTATTTCCCTCGGCTTCTCCATCTTTCGCTCCAGAGTGCTCTTGACGTCGAGTCATACTCCATCGTCTATCCAACGTCCTCAACCCACATATCGATCTTACAGCTTTATCACGATGGGTGTCACTGCAGCCCCAACTCCTGCCATTGTTGGCGCTTTGCAATGTCAAAAGAATTCTTATCTCCAGACGCTCGAGACGGAGGTAGTATCATGCGAAGAATACGTGCCACCCAAGTCACAACAGAACGGGAAGTCGAAGACGAAGAAGTCCACGGATCCCACCAAAGGTCTTGAGAACGGAGATGCAGCATCCGGCAAGACATGGCTTATCGAGCTTGCGGACTCAGTGCTATTCCCGGAAGGCGGTGGCCAGCATACCGACTACGGCGTCCTCACAACACTGAAGGACGAAAACAAGGAAGAGGTTCCAATAAGAAGTATACAACGTCACGGTCTCCGCTGCATACACTTCTCTCCCACACCCCTCGCTCCAGGAACACCAGTCCGTCAAACCGTCGATTTTGCTCGCCGCTGGGACCTCATGCAACAGCACACTGGCCAACATCTCCTCTCAGCCGTCATGGACTCCATGGACCTGCCTACGCTAGGTTGGAGCATGGGTCAGCCCGGAGAAATGAACTACCTAGAACTACCACGGAAACCATCGGAAGAAGAGCTCCAAACTATCCAGAAGAATTGCAATGCCAAGATTAGGGACAGCATGCCGATCACTGTAGAAACACCAGAAGGCAAGGGGAGCGATAGCCTACCTGAAGACTACGATAAAGAGAAAGGTGTTGTTCGGTTTATTAAGATTGGGAATATGGACTACAACGCTTGCTGTGGGACACATTTGCAGAACTCGTCGCACATCAATGTCATAATGCTGCACCACATGCAGTCGGTACGAGGTACCAACTGCAGACTCTTCTTCACGGCTGGAGATCGCGCGATCAAGATGGCTACGGAGTCTATCAACGGTCTTCGCTCCATCGCTGTGTCTTTGTCATCTGGATCGGCGCCTACGGATGTTGCGGCAAAAGTACAGAGAATGAGCGACCAAATCTCTGAAGGGCAGAAGAAAGAGAAGAAATTACTAGCTGAGATAGCAACATTCGAGGGTGATCGCATAAAGAACTACCTACAAAGCCACGACATGGCCTTTATGCATCGCGCAACAGATGGTCTTGACTTCATCAACCTTGTGCTCTTCGAAGTCAAGGAAATTGTCAAAGAGCGAGAGGCTGTCGTAGTCTTGTCTTCAGGCGAGGTCAAGAGCTCTGGATCCATCGTCGTGTTTGGCAAACCTGACTTGGTTGAGAAGATGGCGGCGAAGGTGAAGGAGGTTGTCAGCACGGCGAAAGGAGGCGGCAAGGGAGAAAAGTGGCAGGGCAAGGTCACCGAGTGGCAGAAAGGCGAAGTTGAAGCGTTGAAGCAAGCTATTGATGCGCAGTAAAAACTATGGGATATCTGATAGAAGGTAGGTATATACAAGTAGAAGAGTTGGGTAAAGACGAAAGTGGTATGGAGCGACTGTCCAAGATGCGTGATCCTCCAAAGCATGAAGTGTGAAAAGAAGAGGTATTTACATCGAACGAATGGGGTTGCCATCTAGGCGAAGCTGGAGGATGAAAGGAGAAGGCGGGTTCGTGAGCATCTAGACACTGTAAACCTTGACGGAGTTGATGAGCCAGTATGTCTAGTCACTGTTAGTATATTCTCTTCCACAAGCACCATATGAAGAAGACTTACATCACCAAAGGCCTGGGGCTGGTTCGCCACATAAGCATTGCAACTGGGGTTAAGCTGGGAGCAAGAGTTCGAGCCCCAAACACCACCCGCCCAGTCTCCACAGAAGGTGATGTCGAACACGATGTTCAAGTCCCTAAACTTGGCATTGTAATCACATCCTCCACCGAAGTTCGCGATCGGGGTACCCCAAGTTCCAGGGTCGGGGTTTCCGCTCCGGATGTTTGCTGGGATGTCGCGGGTAGCAAAGTACCACACCTTGATTCCACCGTCTGTCCATAGTGTGGCGTATACACCACCGCCGTTGGCGTTGAATTGTGAGCCGTATGTGACGGGATTGGTGGCGGAGATACCACAGCCGTTGAAGCCGCCGCCGGCACCACAGTCCCCGCCTCCGCGGCTTCCTGTCTCACCTCCTGAGCCGATGCCTGGGTTGCAGCCAGGTGAGGTATGAAGGGTGACTTGGTTGGTGGGGGCCTTGTGAACACCTTCGTAGATGTCGATCTCGCCTTGGTTAGGCCAGTTGGGACCGACCATCCAACTGCAAGTACACCGTTAGTCTTGCACAGCATGAAGGCGATGTTACAGGCAGGTGAGGAACTTACAAGGCGGGCCACGAGCCACATGCACTACCGGGCACGTGTGCAAAGTCTGCAATCACAAGCGCGCGGTTGTAGGCTGTCTTGCTCTGCACGCGTACACTCTTTCGACCAGGACCGTTGGGGTCAAGGTGCGTCGTAGAGTCTACACCCATGTAAACTTGACCGTTTTGTGTCTTGAGCAAACCAAGCTGTTGAGCTTGTTGCCCGTTAACGTAGTCTACGAAGCCATCTAGATGTTTGTTAGACACAAGTGACATAACATTCTGCCAGTGCACATACGTGTAGGATCGCCGATATCCTGGACGTCGAATTTGTTCACCCAGTTACTGGCATCGTACGTGTCGATCAAGTTGTATGCAGCCGAGGCATGAATGTCGTCTGAGGAATAGACATAGGATGAACCATTAGCCCAAAAGCCAGGTCCGGCTGGTAGTGCAGTGGCACCACGCCACAGGATGGGAAGAGATAGGAGAAGAGATTTGAGAGACATGGTATCGTATGTGTAATCAAGATGTATTGTCGTACGAATAGATATCAAACCCGGGATTCTCTGATATACTTATAGCCATGCGCATCTTCGTCGCGACCAAGATGCGCATGCTTCCATACCCCTTGCTCACCGTCGAAGATGCATCTAGGTCGGCTGCACTTAGCAGAGGGGGATCCTCGTTGGAGATTGCATGACCTACTGGCTCGCTGTATACACATGCCATTGGGCGCGATGATCAGATTAGGGACAAAAGCCTCGCGATGTTGCAGCACTTGTAGGGACGAAGGTGCAAGGTTCGAGCGGTTCGCGGGTAATTCGCCTAGTTGAGCAGTTCGAAATTGACCCCAGAAAACGTGGACGTGCCGCATGATGGGAGTCTAGACACTTGTAGCCTCGTGGTAGAGGTAGTGGCGGTTAGACTCGCTGGTCGTTGGGCGGTTTCAGTAGTTTTGCTGGTAAACGGCTTCTGGGGCTCGTGAGTGGTGGAGAGCCATCGCCAGTTCATCAAACTGGCCTTGTTCCCGCGGACCGCATCGCGAAGCGACAGCAAAACGGGGGAAAAGTAACATAGAGATGTGAAATGTGACAAACAGAATTGCGTGTGAAAAGGAGTCGGGTGCGGCCAAGGTCACTGTCTCCCTTCTCCAGACGTTCACGTGGCGCGTCGACATACCTTCCCGAGGTTCTTTCGGGAATAGCGCTGTCACCCCGCGACTGCCTGTTTTGCCCGACCACATCTGCATTCCAGAACTAGAAACATTCCAGAGAGTCTCGGGACAAGAAAAGGTCGACCTGTAGACGGTAAGGACGAGATTTAGATGAGTTTTTGGTGTATCGTGGTACAGACCCCGCAAGGTTTATCCCCATGGACGAGGCATCTGATGTTGTAGGTCACACTGGCTTGCTCCCACGCCACACAAGTGCTTTCTATGGCGGGTTCATCGGTGTCTGAGTCTCGACCCCGGATTATCATCAGCATGCGGGGAGCTCGCGTGGTTCGAGGTAGCACTGCTTGGGTCGACTAAGAGTGCGAAACGCCTGGTCCTCTGATGTCCTGCGACAGTCCTTCACCGCTCAACGGATTTGTTGACTACCTGCTCGTGAGTCAAGAGCGATCAAATAGTTTTGAAGAGAAAGCTAGGTGCGCTGTGTGAGCAGGAGAAGCTGCTGAGTCCAGAGGTCGGTTGCAGCCGCGAGGGCGGGAGCGGCTTTCCCGTAAGCATAGATGCCGTCGTCAGGATCTGCACGGAGAGTGGATTCATCGTCAAAACTGGAGCCATGTTGCTAGGTGAACGTTCCTCTTATCATTCAGGAGTCAGATGTACTGAACTCGTTGCTATTGGCGAGTATACACGGCAATGTGTTGGGACACGGCATGTATTTACGCACGGCTCGATGGGACAAAGAAATGATATAACACCAAGACTTTTAGACATCTATCCGTGCTTCCGGTTGTATCCAATAGGGTGTCTACCGAAGAATACATGAGCTCCAGTCATATCTCTTCAAGCAGCTAGCGATCGGTGTCACTGATGGCTAAGACAAGTAACCGCCCGTCCTTGCGCAAGTGGCCAGTCACCATAATCACTGCGCTATGTGTATGGTGGATGTAGGGAGTGGCTTTAGCATCATGCATTACCAAGAATGGCAAGGACTGCATGGTGCCTGGGTTATACCAATATATCAATGTCAACGTGCGCATGAGGTATGGAAGGCAAAGAGAAAGAGTCAACCTTGGTGAAGCATATACACACCAAAAGCAGTGTTTGCGATCGGGAATGAGATTCTTGGGTCCCTGTGTTAAGATACTACAGCAGTCATACGCAGTGATGATACTCTCGAAGATGCGCAAATCTTAACTATATTCGTTACATATATGCTATAGTACCTAGGTATTCTTGCTCAAGCCTGGTTAACGTGCTGATGTAGTAATTTGGGCGGACGATGCCGGGTGTTGGATGACTCGTAGGGACGATCCGATCTTAGTATATCTAAAGAGTTCTGCGGTGAACGCGGCAGCCACGTCTTCCATGAGTATATCGTCAGCAACCACTTACAGCGACGCAAAGCTTTGTATGAGTATGTTGTCCGCTTAACGCTCGCGTGGTCTCCAAGGTTGTAGGGAGAAATTTGAATCGATAAGTGCTTTCGCTGACATATACACGAAGTCAAATATGTCATCGGGGTATCGTTCAACGTTGCTGCGACTCAAGTTACTCACCCTTCTATGAAGAGGAGATTTCCGTCAAAGTTCTCATAATAGAAGGAGTACACCGATGCAAGAGACCGGTCAAGGCTTTAAGACTCCCGATTCCACTCGGAGTCGTGGCTGTCTCACTGCCAAATCCTGGTGCAATGTACACTCACAAAGATGACTATGGATGCCAGTCACACCGTTCTCAGCCTTGTGGAAGTTCACTCTCTTGTAATTGCGGACAGAATTCATCACGACAGTCACCGAGGGCGCTGTGATGGACTCATCAACCATCATGGCCCGCGACTTTCACTCATTACCTCTGGTGGTACAATGACTCTTTTAGACTATATGAACGAACTTCCACTGTAGTTTACTTCTAGCACAACTGCAAAACTCAAGAAAGCAGCAGCAGGCGAAATCACAACCAGAATACAAGCAGTATGGACGATTTTGGTCCGCCCCGGTCCCCGGATACGAATCTTACGAAGAACATGCACAAGCTTGCCGCTATCCTCGGTATTGTGTCCCTGTTCTGGATAGCATTGCTATCGTTGCTGGAAGCCAAACCGAATCTTGGTCCAACACCATCGTGGTTCCATGTCTATAACACATTATCACTAGCTGGATGGGCTACTTGGGTGGTGAACTTCACGATGGTGGATTCTCGACGAAAGAAAACCCTTCCTCGAAACAAGCCCCACCAAGCATGGAATCTTCTCCACATCTTACCCATAGCTCTCCTCAATCTCACTATCTACACGAGCTTTTCGGTCAAGGATAGGGCGCAACTCTGGTTCTGGGCCTTGATGGTGTTTCGATACTACCGTACTATCGTCACCAGATTCTTCTATCATCGGTACAAGGTGGCTGACTCGAGCACTGAGATATCCAGATTCAAGCCACAAGATTGTACAGTTATCGTACCAACTGTCGGCCCCAACAAAAAGAACCCGGTGTTCGCAGAGATGGCTGTGGCAATTCTGCGAAACAAGCCAGGGCGTCTGATATTCGCCGCTAACAACGAGAACGCCGAAGATGGGGTTAATTCAATGATGGCGAAAATAATTCCAGCTCTCGAAAAGCATATGCGGGTGGTAACAAACTGGGAATGCGTACATGTCGACATATCAAACAAGCGCGCACAGACATATGAAGCCATCAAAAGGGTGAACCAGAAAGGGGAAGGTCATTTAATGACGGGTGTCATTATTATGGTCGACGATACTGCTATCTGGCACGAGAACTTCTTGGAAGCAACTCTTCCAGCTTTCAATGACCCAAACGTTGGTCTTGTCGGTACGCACAAGTCGGTCAGATACATCCGCCTTGGCGACAATCCAACCACCCCTTTCGCGTCTCATACGGATCACACGCAAGAAGATGCTCTCCAACGAGAAATCGAAGAACTCGAAGAACGTCGTAGGATTGCGAAGATGGGCAAACTGGAATACTGCAAGGAGTGGTATTTGACAGGCATGTGGAACACCATCGGCGCGCTGTATCTGATGCGCCACAGCTACGAGACGGAGGCGTCTAACACCGCTGATGGTGGCGTTTTTGCCGTGTCTGGTCGAACCATGCTCATCCTGACGTCGATAGTAAAGGACCCAGATTTTATAAAGGAGTTCCAGGAGGAGTATGTTGGGGAGATCGTTTTCAAGTGGCTGACGAGGTTGATCAAATGGCGTGTTCCACTCATGGATACGATACTCGCTCGCTTCGAATCCATTGGTCTAACGAAAAAAGGCGTCGGACCACTGCTTGCGGATGACGACAATTTCATCACGCGGTGGGTCATTAACCATGGCTATAACATCAAGATTCAATCCTCACCTGAAGCAACCATATCCACGGTGTTGGGGAGCGTGAAGACGTTCAAGTTCATAGACCAGTGCAAACGCTGGAGTCGCACAACCTTTCGACAAAACCCAATAGCGCTCTTCTTTGATCGAACCATCTGGTGGAAGTGGCCGATCTCGGTATGGACTGTGTACTTCCCGTGGATGTACAACGGGGCTCTGTTCTGGGATAGTGCGGCAGTCCTTACCTTCTGGTATTCGAGCCTTTATCTCGACTCCCCGAGCGGCAATGCGCGATTTTGTTGCCTGATCCTCTTCATGTGGTTCGCCAAACTCAACAAGACCTGGCCATGGTTCTGGGAGCATCCGCTGGACTTTGTATTGTACTTCATCATCCCGGCCTATCCTTTGTTCACTTACTACCACACCTTACTCAAGTTCGCAACAGCGATCACTTGCTGGAACAACGAATGGTCTGGGAGGGATGTGAAGGACGCAGAAAGAATAGCAGGACCAGTGCCACCCGAGGTGGCAGAACGGGCGGCAAAACAAGCGGTAAAGAATCTGACAAAAAGAAGGAAAAAGTAGACTTGGTCGACTTCCCAAGCAGATCCTGAATACACCAGTCACTTACCCATACCGGCTGCGATCAAAGCAGGTAATATCCCCGCGCCTGACCACTCGTCGATTGACGCCAAAATGGAGGTTGGTGCGATGGATTCGGCGAGTCATGGCCTTCGTTATAGTCAGGCGACATCTCTTTGGTTTCTAATGGGCGTTTGTTGTTTTCGATACCCAGGCTTTAATACAACGTCATTCAGCGTTGATATCCATACTTAGGATACGTAGACATTATCTGTATAGGAATTTATTAGCTGTTTTTTTATTTCTAAAACGCTTATGGTTTATCTCCATGCTGCGCAGAACATCCAATACTTCGAAGAATGTCGAAATTGGAAGAAGGATAATTCTTATACCGTGCTGTTAAGTGATTGCTGCAAAAGATCACACCTCCTCGCTCCGGCTCGGTATTGCAGATGCGACGCAACCATTGTCGCAATACAATGAGATCTGATAGTGTATGGAATGAAAGACCGGCGCGCACTGTTCTTTACGAACGTAGTGTGAGACCTCTTGCTAAGACGTGTTGCTGACACTACATGGGTGCCAGGGGTTTTGGGAAGCGAAGATTTCATGCGGGCCCATCGAATACGTCATACCCAGTGAGGTCGGCAGGTACCTCGTTTTCCACAGCAAAAACGTGCGCAGAACATACCTCGACTACGATACGATACGAGCAATGTCGGCAGAGTAGTCTCCGTAGTCTCGATGAAAACGGCGTTCGAGCACTAGGCGCAATTGCCCCATTCGTACCTTCCTCCACCAGGGCTGAAGGCGACCCGACGTGTTGGGACCCTTCGCTCCACATCAACTCTACTTCAACTACATCCATGGATCTCTTCTATGTTCCCTCTACATTACATATGTCTTCACGTACTCCGCATAGAACGATAACGCACTGGTCGATATGTTGTGCCCTGGGAGGGCGGCGACACGCACAGCGCATCCTTCGATCCCGCTGATCCTGCCGATCCAAAGCCACGCTCAGAGGACAACCGCTCTCGAAATAGTACCCTTGTGAGCAAAGGTCTATAGAGTGGTCGGCGAGCAGACACTGTGATATCGTATGCCGGACCACCAAGGAGGACGACATCGGTCCATGTGCAGGCACCCTGGACCCTCACAGCCAAGACTCTTCATCACCTCATGGGCTCGCGCGCGCATGTGGAGTGAATGTCGCTTGGTTTGATACTCTCCTGCAGGACTGGGGTTGGCGAAGAATGGGGGCCAGAACGTGTCAGCGTACTAAAGGAGGACTCCAAGGTTGGCGCCAATCAAGTCCTTCGCCGGCTCGTCCTCCAGCGACGTACCGTGTCAAAGAAGGATAGATTAGCTCTGCTATCTCGTGGTCCCGCAAGTCCCCCTCGCAGCGCAGAATTGCTTTTGCTCAGATACCAGGTGGTCTGATCACTTTTGGTCAGGGTCTGCTCGGCCTTAGCCCTCTCAACCCCCTCAACCCCATTGCGACGGCGGAAACTCGCCAGCCTAGGGCGCCCATGTGCACCATAAGGCAGCCGCTTCAGCCTGCAGATACGGGGCGGCGCCAGGCAAGCAAAACCTTCTGGTACCGTAGCCGTGCTCGCTGGATAGCAGTCACAGGCAAGCCCAGCGACACGTTTAGCAGGCTCCGTTGCGCAAGCCAACGATAGGGCGCACTCAAGAACAACAAACTGTATTGTTGGCGCTCCATTGAAAAATGAGAATACGCGGTCAGCTCTCTTCCATTCCCGACTATCTTGAGGAATCCGGCAGTTACCACTTCTCCGCACTGCGTGGACATCTGCAGTATCTGTCCCGACACTCAGAGGCCTGAGAGATTGGGATCCAGCCATGCGCATGCAGCAGCAGGGTTGCGATGATCATGAGGCTCTGCTCGTGGAAGGTAATCTATCAGCCGAAGCCACGGTCTGGACACACGCATGGGTGACGAGAAAAGCATGCGCGGGCAGCGACAGCAGAACTCCTCGTACGTTTACTCCGCATCCTTGTTCGCTTTCGGGCCGTCATGTGTGTCGCGTCCCAACACAGCATGGCACGGCTCACGGTGCGCGGGAAGGATGATCAACCATCTGGCCGGTGTTTTCACCCTCCTAATTGGGTTCGTGGCTTGCTTGCGGGGTTGCGCGTGCATAGGCGAGACCGACGCCAACGAATTACCTTTCACACCTTGCTACTCCCTCACGGTGAGCCCGGCCGACGGCGGTCCATAATCAACATGGTACTTAAGCCCTGTAACGGACCATGCCGCCCACACTCGCAGTCTTCTCCTCGGAACTGTGCATTCGCAATGCGAGGTGTACGATCGTAACGAGCCCAAATTTGGCTCCCGAGCTCGCACGACTTGGTGTACGATGGCGCACAGCGCTATCAGTCAAGCATGATTACAGCCCGCTGAGTATTCAAGACTTGTCATTCGTTGTAGCATCGTTCGCATGGCATGGAACCCTAAGATCGTGATATCTTAACTAGGGTTCCGAACTATTGGTACTCAGTAGCAAGTAATCCTGTGCTGATCACCCGTCGCAGTGGCTTTGGGCGTTCCAAGTGTCTGCCCATGGCCTGTTGCTGTTGTGGTCGCACGTTTGTGTGGCCTTCCAGAAGCGGATATACCGCTTAGTGAGTCTAGCACCGCACCCCATTACAGGCGGAGGGTCGCTTCAACCTTGATCGAATCAGGTTTTGATGCAAGCGAAGAAAGTAAGACTACAGAGTAAACGCCCGAGCCTACATCGCGTGGCTAGTTAACGACGCAAGAGAACGTCGCGCCATCGCCGTCTCGGCTCCGGATCTAAACGGTGTGTTGACTATTCTAAACCCACTTCAATCCGTCGTGTCATTTGGGGTTAATCGCATGCTTGGAAGCTGGTGGCAGCGGTGGAAAGCCTCTCTGCGCTTATCCTTCGATGGGAATCGCTTGTCAATATTCCGGAGGTCGCCAAAGCCTCTGCAGACCTGTCCGCACACCAATAGAACATGTGCTCTCGAACACCATTAACAGAAAATGAAACACGTCTTGCATACAGGCGGGTACAATCACGACCTGGTCAATAATTGTTCGGAGTTGAATGTGCAACACACAACAAGAGGTCGACTAGGATCTTCGCGAAACAGGCCCTTTGCGCTATAGCTTGTCTCCTGTCGGCCCTTCTCATCGCTGTGTCCCGCATGCCCATACCCAAGCACGCAAGACCAGCAGGGTCATGCCGTGCGCTGGAAGTTCTGGCCATTGCAAGAAGTTGTGGCGGTGCGACTTCCCATACTTTTTTTCGTTATGAACAAGCTCTTCGGATGCTGCAGTATGCGTTCTTGTCGACTCGAGACCACCGAAGCTCAACAGTCAGCGTGGACGATGTCGTTTACATACCTGCCTGAGTACGGATCTGCGGCAGTGCGCATTCACGGCCCTGAAACATGCTGTCTGACTGGCTCATGCATGGCTCAACTGTAGTTCTGGAGCGGGCGCATAGCTAAATCGATTGCGTACTCTGAATTCGAACATCCCGCGAGGCTCGGATCATAATCCTGCCGCAAAACCCAAATAGGTTCTGGCCTTGCATTTTGTAACCACGATTGCTCGCTGTACTGACGTGCGTCAGCCACATACTCCTTTGGGGATTTATGCCCTGTCAAAATGCACGGCTCCCCTACCGCGTTGAGAGCGTGGGTCGAGGACTGCTTGACAAGAGTAGCTTCTGCGACTAAAGTAGTCTCAACTGGTCAAGTGGCACGGATTCCAAGGCTGTTCTCCCCGCACACACTATCGCTAGCTCTTCAAAGCCACCATGGGCGGCCTCTAGTATATACCAGGTGGAAAGATTAGTGATGCGCCCATGGCGACATGATATACTGGAGTGTGAAATATTGCTGATGGCGTCAGACGGGTACCAGGCCGATGCTAGACAGCGGTGTTACATTCCATAGTCGAGGTGCATCAGGGTGTTGTAACGCAGTCAATGAACAGGTGCCAGTTGCACTGCGGCCGGTATACTTGGCAAAAACCAGGCGGCACTGCTGATAGGAAGGCTCGTACCAGCGAGGGTGCGGTTGACGCCTTCCACAACCTTATCCATTTGGTCGGGCCAGGAGGGTCCAGGGGCCACGCGAACAAGATGTCACGCTGATTACCAGACGCCGCGTTAGTATGGTACGGAACATGAGGTCCGTGTATGACAGCTAGTCCTCGGGAGCCTCTGGTCAAAGACACACGGCGTGTGCACATGGCGTGCCGTGGCAGCGCAAGGTCCCAGAGCGAGATTGCTCTGACTTGGCTCCCCACCCCCGGTCCAAGGCTACGAAACGGTTACGGTTGTAGGGCAAGTGTGTTTGCTCGCGACCAGACAACGCCCGCGCCCACCACTTCGAAACGTAACCAAGATTATTCAGAGGGCCATGTCACGCCATGCCACAGTAGCCTTGCGATGTGCGCATGAAGGCAGTCACACTGTGCCATGACGCACCGCGACTGCAAAGGCTGGTTAGTCACGAAGAGTGGGCATGCTGGAGTCAGTCCCGCAGTGACGATGTGACGATGAGAAACACGGTGAAGTCAGCGCGATACAGGGCCTGTGGGAGAGGCAGTGCAGCGACGAGCCCCACGAGGACTCGCTTAACGACCCGATTGAGGGCAATGGTCTAAGATTAGCACTGCCCCACGTCCAATGAGACGTCATATTGCCTGCACAGCCGCATGCTAGCGCCACCAGCCACAGCGGTCCGGGCAACGCGAGAGGATCGCGTACCAGATGCGCTAAGGGCCACCAGGCGTGCGGAATGGCAGGACAGCTTCCCAGTCCGCCCATGGCTCCCCGACCGAAGCGGTGATCAAGCGTGCGTCTTCTCCAGGGTCTATCCCTAATGCGCTTGTCTTGCCCAGATGCAGCATGAAAGCTCCCACGCGCTGCTCGCCTACTCGCTGACGGCCCTCTACCCCTCGTCACTTTCGGCATGGCTTGCTCTGTTGGTGCGTC